GCTGCATTTGCAAAGCTACTACCTTCCTGGAATCCTGGAATCCTGGAATCCTCTTTTCATTCGTTCTTTGTAAACCAAGTAGCCTTGCAAAAGACAGTGAACGACCAAATAACTTGCAGATTGTTCATATACAAACCGATTGATTGTACTTAATTACGCCACTTAGAATGCCCCCCAACCCCACTTCCCCTGGGGTGTTACCTTTATAAGTTAGGCGTTCAAGCGCGGCGCCAAAGAATATGGTTATTGAATCATTTTGGTTTAAAATAAGGTATGTTCTGTACACTTAAATTAGCTATTGGGTATAACTGTTAAAATAATCTACTTTTTTAGTGTTATTATTCATCGTTAATTAACATCGGGAATTTTGAAGCAAACCTGGAAAACGTCTAGTCTGATAAAAGGTATAGATGCTTGGCTGAAGAGTTTGAAATACAGCAGTGAAAATCATATAATTTGTTCTGAAATACAGTAACAATTTCAAGAAACCCGTCGCACAGCCTCCACCCAACTTTTCTGAAATTAACCCAAGCGAAAATAGCAAAGGAAGTAACCTTAGAAGTGGCCCCTAATTTTCCTCACTTGAGAATGGAAGCCTGTCATAAGAAGTGCATACAACGGTGTGGGATTGAGACGTTTGCTGCATAGCACTGACATTTTACTTCATTAAGAGATACGACGCCAAACAAATGAAGTATTGATAAGGATTTTAATTAGCATGGCATCTTTCTTATGCTAATACAAACTACCATTTACATTACGTAATTCTGCCAAATGAACTATCGATCACAAAAGTGCAGTAAACCACAAATTCTATTGTACCTGTGCTATCATATGCATTTGTATACAGTCTGTGACTTCCTTTATTAATGTGATTTCTCGGTTATTCGCAAAAATTGTTTTAGCCACCAATGAAATTGTGTTTATACTGGTATGTACATGTATCTTGCACAAAGACTATAAATGTAGTTTCTCCAATTTAACTTTCACTCACAAAATGGTGCTATTAAACTGCAGCTAAGCATACAGGCAAGGTTATCTGGTTAATACTGACAAGAGGATTCTTTTATAAGTTTCTTAGAAGACCTTTCGTATTGCAGGTCTTATGACTTCTAAAAATATTTATTTACATCCACTCCTAGTTTTCTTGTTTTTTACATCCAGTAGAAAGCTTCATCAATGTATTTTTTTATGTCTTGTAATATATCATAAACAAGATAGAGAATCTTACATGTACGTCGCTAAACAGCAGCGCATTTCTGACGGTCTTTACCATGTGTGGAAATTGGAATTCGCATTTGGTCAAGCATTGTGTCGAGGTTTAGATATATTCCCCTCTCATCTGAAACTAAGACTAAGGAGAAATCTGAAAAAATAAATTCTTAACGGCCATGCTAATTAACCACAGATATCCCATCTACGGTCATGGTTGTGAACTCTGAAATTCCAAACTCCAAACTTAAGCCTTCTTCAAAATTGTCTCACGAGCTAAATAGATTTTTTCCAGGAAAATTCTTTAAACAGCACATTCTCTCACTGGAAGGAAAGAACGAGGAGTGACTGCAGGAATTTCTGATAGATCGAGATTGAACTGAGCAGCTACATGAACGACCATCATAAAATGTAAAGCACCAAACAAATACCTGTTTTGATATACCGTTTTTGACTAAAAGATAATGATACTTTCTTTTACGCTCTTCTAGTTCAGATTGTTTTTTATTTCAGTGTAGAGCTATATACGTATACGTGGCTCCACCTAACTACTCCTCACACCTCTCTTAATTAAACAGATTGCAAATGAAAAGAAAGAGGTTTATCGACCACTGTACTGTTTATGTGCTTCTAAATTGCAATTTACGCAATTCTGACTATGTTTTACCCTATTTTAATCCTATCTTGCAACGACGGCCAAAGGACCATTGAGCTGGACCCGTGTCAATCCCCTCGCTTGGAGTATTGCGCCAATCAAGAAGTCCTCGAAACTCACTGACACCAGCAGCTCAGCATTTCGTGAAGAGACGTTTAACGGTGCGAACCGCATTCTCGGTCTTTCCATTGCTCTGAGGATAGCGGGGACTCGAAGTGACATGTTGAAAGTTCCACTGACTGGCCATTGTTGCGAATACTGACGATGCAAAGCAAGGTCCGTTATCAGTGACTACGGATCCGACACCCCGTATCTGCCACATGGCCATTGGACTTCTGATCAGGGCTTTGGAGTTTTCCGTCGAGAGAGAATCCACCTGACTGAAATTACCAAAGTTGTCCCTCACAACTAGAAGGACCCGGCCTAAGAAATAGTAGAGGTCAGCAGCTATCTTGGCCCAAGGAAGTGGAGAAACGTGCTGAATTATGGGTTCCCTGACTTGCGAGTCGTGGTGAGTCTGGCAAACATCACATTGACTGACAAAGTCTTTCATTTGTGAGCTCATCCCAGGCCAGAACATGCATTCCCGCAGACGACGAAGGCAACTACCAAGGCCAATGTGACTTGAACATTAATGAGCCAGGTACATAATTCCTTTTCTCAGGGCAGTGGGAAGCAAACAGACGAGAGCCACGGAAAATCAAGTTCCTTTGGACACTCAAACAGTTCTCTATGGAACTGTTCCAGTTCGAACTGGAAGAAGGCCTGGCCAAACGTCCAGGATGACTC